TGCGCTTGCGGCATTCTGAAAAGTTGAAATATTTTTATCTCGATGCGGCGCGGACGCTCCTGGAAAAAATGAGCGCGTCGCACCGCGTGCGCATCGCGACCGTGTCGCTTCCATTATGAGCGCGCCTGCCGCGCGTCTACATGTGAAATAACGAATTTGAGCGTGCAAAAGACGCTATATGTGAGCGCCCCCTAAATGATTCGGTTCAATCGCAACGACTCACTTATTAACAGTGACTTACTGCTACCTACTGGCGGTTTTAATTTCACATTTAAAGTATCTTTTCATTTTTTAAATTATTTGAAATATCAGTATTCAGTGTTTTGTTTAATACAGGGTTCCCACGCTTCTTGAAAGTACTTGAATTTCAGACATATGTATTCAAGGCCTGGAAAGTACTTGAAAACAAACATAGGTCATTGAAAGTGCTTGAATTAAATTTGAAATAAATTTTGTTTATGCAGGGATTAAAGTTTTCCATTGCTACGATGGATTTCCGCCAATTGGAAAAGAAACATGTAGCACATTGTTGTTGTTGTTCTGCCGGCACACCAAAAATCATTCTGCAGCTTCTCAGTGACAACATAGTGATGCCGCTCGCATCATTCACAGTCAGGTTATTAGCAGAGAACACAGAGCAGAACTTGAATTTCGGCGCGGGATTGCGGATTTTAATAACAATTCTACTCATTCCCGCAGGTTCCGCGCTTATAACACGATGACAGATGACGGAACGTATCATTTGCACGGGCTTTAGAGTCTTGAGAACTCACTCGCGCGCTCTCATTTTCTGTGCGCCCACAGATCGCGATAAGGAGAGTGACAACTTTTAATAGTTATTAAGGGAGTTATTAAGGGAGTTTGCGATGTGATATTGATTTAATACAACAGTTCAATAAACAAGTACTGCCTGATTTTGCTCTATTTCTTCAACGAAAATAGTTCCAAATATAGTAACAGCTCAGCATCTCTAAAAACAAACACAGCAGTGTTTAATTCATTCAATGAAAGTGCATTTTTGAATGAACCAAGTGAGTCAGTGATTCATGATTACCCATTCATAAAGACAGTCACTTGCTTCATTCCTGAATGAATCAGCCGTTCTAACGAATCAATTGAACGAATGATTCAGTGATAAAATTAGTGACTTTGTCGCCACCTGCTGGTGGATTTAGTTTCATTTTTAGCGTAAAATTTCAGTTATTTAAATCATTTAATATTTCTGTATTCAAAACTTTATATTTAAAACATTAATCTCCACATGAACATATGAATTTAATTGCACTCATGCCACCTCTGAGCCTCATTAAACGTCTGGAAATGTACCTACAAGCCACTTTTGTGTTCTTCTGTTCCACCTCTGTAGTACAAATACATTTTTTATTAATACTAATTTCATATGATTGGTAACTTATTTGTCTTATTCTTCTTATTATATTGTTTTAAATGGAAATTTTAAAAAGCTTATAAACATACATTTTTGAATTTGACAGATGAAAATGATGCCATTATAAAGGTAAAAAGGAAATTTCCCCCTGTAAGTCACTTTAAGGAGTCAAATGTCACCTCATATTAGGAAGGATAATTTTTGATCAGAATTTTTGATTATTGATCAGAAGGTGCTCCTAAATTTTTTAAATTAGGAGGACAAGCGCTCCTAAAAAGAAAAGTAAGCATAGAGCCATGTGTAAAACTATTAGATCCGTGCATGAGGTCTTAAAGAGACAGCAGCCTAAATAAACCTCCTGCTGCCTTTCATTATACAGTGAAGACTAACCAGTGTTATTTTACAGTTGAATAGATTATAGTTAGACCTAACTGAAAAAATTAAAGTACTGTTAATTTAATTTGTATCTTGTTATTGTTTTTGTTTGTGCTATTGATTGTCATTAATTTATTTGTTCTTATTTTATTATTTACTATTTACTTGTCTTTTTTAGTTAAAATAAATTAAATTCTGAGTGCACCTGATTGGGTGGGTAGAGGAGGGGGCGTGGTCCATGGGAAATAGTCCTGCCACCACAGCTGGAAAAAATCCTAGGAAACACTGCATACATTTAATAAAATTAGAAAAATGCCATTACAAAGGTAAAAAGAAAATACCCCTGTAGATCACTTGAGTCAAATGTCACCTCATATTACACATCAAGTTGTTGATGTTTGTGTATAAAGCTCTGCATGATCAGGCTCCTGAGTACATAAGGGATATGTTGGTCCCTTAACAATCGCATAGACTATTGCGCTCCTCTCAGAGCTTGCTTTTGACTGTCTCACGGTCTCGTCTGAGGCGGAGTGGAGGTTGCGCTTTTTCTGTTGCGGCTCCAGCACTTTGGAATGCTCTGCCATTATCTGTCAAATCCTCATCAAGCATGGTCATTTTTAAAAAGGACTTAAAGACTTACTTGTTTTATCAGGCTTTCGGCACTTGATTGGTCAGGACAATTGTGAATGACTTGTCTTTTATTTTATGTTTTGTTCCTATGTTTTAATGTTTTTTTTAATCTTTATTATATACTGCTTGTGTACAGCACGTTGGTCCATTTTTGGTTTTGAAAGTGCTTTATAAATAAAGGCTAAGGTGAGTTGAGGCAAATTTTTGATAAGAATTTTTTATTATTGATCAGAAGGTGCTCCTAAATTTTTTTAATTAGGATGACAAGCGCTCTTAATTACAAGAAAAACTTCTCTTAAACTGGGTGTGTGACAGGTATGGCTGTGGAATGGGGTTTGGCTGAGGAAAAATGTTCAGTCAAAAGATTTTTTTTTTTGCTTTAACCCCTGGAAACAGTACTTAGTGAAATGTATCAATAAAACAGCTTGTGAACAATGCCATGTAACGTTATATTTATCTCATGACATTCTGACCATAAACTTAATATATAGCTAGACAAATAACCCTAGAGAGCAGTATTTTGCCAAATATATGTACTATTTTACATATTAATTTTTACTGTACCTATTCATTATTTAATGTTAATTATAAATAATTATAAAATACATTTCTGGATTTGGATTCAGCTTTCGGCCAAGTGCATCCTGAATTTTTGGCCCAGAATCATTTCATTTCAGTGCATCATTAATTTAAACATTTTAATCTTGGTAAAATCATGTTAACTTACTCAACTTTTGCATTAAAAGCCTCATAAAAATATATCCTTCATGTTCAGAATCCCACAGTGAAGGACCTGATTGGCTTTGGGCTTCAAGTTGCCAAAGGAATGGAGTATCTCGCAAACAGAAAATTTGTGCACAGAGACCTTGCTGCACGTAACTGCATGTAAGTAAGAGGCAACCTTAATTTTCTTATTTTATCTGGTAATGTATGCATACACCAAAATGAAACAAACAAAATGTACTTTGATTTTTGTTGTTTTATCAAAGTACAATGAGTAAAGACACAAAAATTCTAATAAATGTAATGAAACCACTTTTCCTAGGCTGGATGAGTCGTTTACAGTGAAGGTGGCTGACTTTGGTATGGCACGTGACGTCTATGATAAGGAATACTACAGCATCAAGGACAGCAAAAAAGCAAAGCTGCCAGTCAAATGGATGGCTTTAGAAAGCCTGCAGACACAGAAATTCACCACCAAATCAGATGTGGTCAGTTTAAATGTGGAGAATCTTTTCAAGACGTTTCAAAATGAACAGTTTTGAAATCACATGAATATAAGTGTGATCTCAGTGGCGTGATCCTGTCGTCTTGGAAGAAGAGTCAGGCTAAAAATAAATTTCATGATGCTACATTCTATATATAACATGTATTTTATTCCCTCTAGTGGTCTTTTGGAGTGTTGATGTGGGAGCTGATGACGAGAGGGGCCAGTCCGTATCCTGATGTGGACCCTTATGACATTACAACCTATCTAATGCAAGGCCGTCGACTGCTACAGCCACAATACTGTTTGAATTCCCTGTATGATTTACCTGCCTTTTATTTTAAAGGGGTCGTATCATGAGGAATCATGTTTTCTTTGGCTTTTTGATATGTATGCTTTGAAAATATATCATTCAAAGGAGCTTTTTTTATTTAGCTAACTGTCCACATTTACATGTCAGCAACACCTACGACAAAATCGTAATCCATGGTGAAGCAGTAAAGCAAGATAAATATATTAATAATATTGCTGTTGTTAAAATATTAAATTATATTAAATTATTAAATATTTCTAAACACCAGAAGAACTAATGATAAGAGTAAACTGTGGTAAACAGTCTTGGAAAAAGTATATACTTTTTTGATGGAAAACTTTTACTAACATTGTAAGTGGATCATAAACATAAACTATATTAAATATTAAAATTAAATATAATAATCATAATAATAAAAAAATATTATCACTTTAAAAATGGGGGAACAGCTGTGAAAACCCAACAGAAATATTTAGATTTACATGTAGCTTCATAATTGGGCATAATTGGGCATAAAGGGCAAATAGATTAATAAATAATTTTGTATTCTTTATTATAGGTGGTCCATCCTGCTGCAGTGCTGGAATCCTGAGCCTGAGAAGAGACCAAGTTTCCCTAGTCTCGTGAAAGTTATTCAAGAAATCCACTCCAGCCTTGAGGGGGAACATTACATCAACCTGCAGATCACGTATGTGAATCTGGACCAGCCCAGGCCCTACCCCCAACTCTTCCCGGCCCCGCCTGCTCCCGAACATTCGGACCAGTCCTCCACTTGACCCTGGTCTTGAATGAAATAAGTTTGAGCTGCGTTCATCCTGTGGATTCAGAGGCTCATATGGTCCTGTGAAGTGTGGGAACCAAAAAGCATGCACTGAAGATGATCTGCTGTATTTGGAGAATCCCAACATGTGTAAAACTGAATGTACATTCCTTGTGTGTGTCTGAGATGGTCATGCTGTTGTGAACTTTGCGTGGTGTTAGTTGCATGACCAAATTGGTGTCACATCTTTGGGATTTTAACAATTTTGGGGCAAGTGCACTTTTTAAATGAATTTTATATTTTAAACTTTTTTTTAAATGCATGCAAGAATGCTGTGTTTTTATACTTTTTAAAGCACATGGTATTATTTCTTACACTGAATGACAACTGAAAATGATTTGTTATTTCTCATACTTCTATAGTATAACACTGTGTTCTATCCAGGCGCAATGCAGCAAGATTCCAGCGACCAAACTATTTTTATGTCCACACTGCCAGTGAAAATGTCCCCCGTTCTTTGTCAGTGTTTGATGTTTAATATACATAGGGAGCAGGATTTTGGTTCAACAGTCTTTCAGTGTGAGCATGGCTACCAGCACATTGCTGCAGAAATATTTACACAATGTAACAATGTAAGAGATAGATAGCTTTTATCACTTGTTGCTTTGTCACGTTGTACATAAATGGTTTCTTTAAGGAAGAGTGATATGATTACTTGAAATATGGTTTGATCAGTTTCATTTTACTTTTTTTTTAGTGTAAAAAAAGAGATAAAATGCCAAAGTCTGAGTTGTTGACATGATGTGAAGCATGATTTGTATATGCCAGCAGGTCCACAAGAGAGTAATGCAGGGTATCTGCAGGATTTTTAGGCTCAAATTTAAAGGGGTCAAGTCAAGTCAAGTCACCTTTATTTATATAGCGCTTTTAACAATACAGATTGTGACAAAGCAACTGAACAGCATTAATTAGGAAAATAGTGTCAATAATGCAAAATGACAATAGTAAACACTCATTTTTCAGTTAAAGACAGTTCATCATTGAATTCAGTGATGTCAACATCCAGCTCAGTTCAGTTTAAATAATATCTTTGCAATCATATGATGATTGCAAAGATAGGGGTCATATGGGGTCATATGATGCTGCTAAAAAGAACATCATTTTGTGTATTTGGTGTAATGAAATGTGTTTATGCGATTTAAAGTAAAAAAAAAACATTATTTTCCACATACTGTACATTATTGTTTCTCCTCTACACTCTTAAAAATAAAGGTGCTTCACGATACCACAGAAGAACCTTTTTGTCTAAATGGTTCCATAAAGAACCTTTAACATCTGAAGAACCTTTCTGTTTCACAAAGGGTTCTTTGTGGCGAAAGAAGGTTCTTCAGATTATAAAAAGGTAAGAAAGAGATGGTTCTTTAAAGAACCTTTGACTGAATGGTTCTTTGTGGAACCAAAAATTGTTCTTCTATGGCATCGCTTGAAGAACCTTTTGAAGCACCTTTATTTTTAAGAGTGTATGCTCCGCCTTTTTGAAACGCGTCGATTCTTACAAAGCTCATCAGTCTGAAAAAGCGAGGTGTGCTGTGATTGGCCAGCTATCCAGTGCGTTGTGATTGGC